AGGAGGAGCCCATTGAACCACCCAGGGAAGGGGGGCCTCTTTCCACCCACGGAATGGATTAATTTCGTAAGTAGAGGTACCACTCTATTTGGTTAAGAATCTTTTTTTCCTAGATTTTCCTCCTTTAAAATTGGGTGCGTCTTATATGCCGGAGCGTCTTATATGGCGAAAAATACGGTAGTTTCAGAAAGTTAATTGTAATTGTTGTTATTTAATTGTTAATATTATTATTAACAATTATTAAATTATTAAATTGTTATTTTTATTAATAATTTAATAATTGTTAAATTATTAAATTAAATTATTAAATTGTTATTTAATCTGAGGGAGAGACACTAGGCCCAGCACCTTCGGGCCTAGTGTAAGAAGAAGAGCCCTCCCTCCATTCCATCCAGTGTCATCTGAGGGAGAGACACTAAGCCCAGCACCATCGGGCCTAGACTATCTTTTAAAACATCTGTTTACATTGTATTAACATATCTTTATGTAAATTTAATGTTGTAAGCCGCCCCGATTGCTCTGCAGAGGGGCGGGATATAAATAAATATTATTATTATTATTATTATTTTATAATATTCTCATGAAACTGACTTTTTATCCTTTCATACTGACATTATAAAATACAAGTGGGACCAACAACAACATTCTCCAGTGCAAATGTCTTCCTGTTTCCAGTCAGCCAACCACAAATTATTTTTTCATCTGAATATTCTATTCCATCCTTCCCCCAGATTCCCAGTTTCTTCTCCCCATTACAACAATTAGCCATCATTTCATAATCACTGCTCAGACCTATTTGGAGTGTGCATATTCCATTAGGATTTGTTTCTCTAAATGTTTTGTCTGTACAACTTCCAGTCTTGGCAGAAAGATACTGACCATGTTTGGCTGGGGGATTCTGATAGCTATAATTCAAAAAAGTAACTTTCCCAAGTCTGATAAGGCCAGGCATTTTAAGGCCTAAATCCAATTGTTAGTCTCAACTAGAGCTGAAGCACTGAATCAACTGCTGAACAGTAAGTAGACACTTCTATAAATCCCATTGATTCAATAGGTCTACTCTAATAGGAATTAGGTCTTAGAATGAGTTTGCTGTTGTTTTTTTCCTTAGTCTCCAATCTTTTTCCCACCTTATTCTGCTCTGATTATTTAAACACTGTACATTTACCTACCAGCATTCCTAAAAAATTAGTATGTAAAAACAAATACAAATATTGAGTTCAATACTCTGTACATGATCAATTAATATCATATATTTCTTCCCAGTAGCTTAACATATTCTCTAATTGTCCTGATTTGGCAGGGACAATCCTATCATTCCTAATTTTAGCAGCTTTTAAAATGTCCCTGTTTCTTTCTGCTACTCCCACTTTCACCCTTTGCCCTCAGCTTACTTCAATTGCTGCAAACTGAGTTACGAGTGCAAAAGTATTTTGCATTGATTTAAATCAACAAAGCGAAGGGACAGAATTTTGCCCTTCTCAATAGATTCAAATAAAAACAAACTCTCCTAGCTTGTGTGTTCTTCCTCAGAAATAACTTTTGCTGTCTTGACCACACTGTGATGTTGCTTGGCCACATGTGTTCCAGTTTTCATCTATGGATATGGACTATTGGAAGGTATGATTCAAGGTGGTATACATAGCTCTCCTTCTCCCCAAATCTTCACAATAACTTTGTGTTGTCAATCATGCTAAGAGACCCACCAACTCATGATCCCAGGTTTCATGAGTTGGGGGAATCAAACCTGGATTTTTCCAAGTCCCAGTCCAACTACTACTACACATATGAGCAAAATGGGACTTCTACTCATACCAACCTGTTTGAACATTAAATTCAAAGCAACAGGAAAAATGTTGTCTCTAGGCAGCTTGCTGGCAATTGCAGGGAAGTTTTAAATGGCTTGAAAGGTGTTGATCTGAAAGTTGCTGTTGTTAGGTACTTTCAACCCTCATGCAAACCTATCACAGGGATTTCTTGCAAGATTTATTGGAGGGGTGTGTCTTTACCTTCCTCTGAGGCTGAGAGAGAATGACTTATCCAAAATCACCCAGTGAGTTTCCATGACTGAGCAAGGATTTGAACCCTGGTCTCCAGAGTCGCAGTCTAACACTCAAACCACTACACCACACTTGCTCTTGGATCTGACCACAGCCTGCCTGAATTACTTCCTTACAAGCTTAGTAGAAAGGTAAACATTAAACTACTGCTGTAAGCATTTATTTAAGTGCTCTTTCTAGATCTGGTGTCTGAAGTATCATTACATGGTTGCAAGTGATATCCCAGAGAAAAGCTCAAGAAATTAAATCTGGGGAATAAGGGGCATGCCAGAGAGGAGTGATGAACTCACGTCACATAGACAATGCTACCTTCACTGCCAGGTCTGACTTCTAACATGACAAAAGCATTCCTCTTATGCTTCTCCCACGCTGGAGTGAATGAAAACTACTTTTTCTTACTAGGCATAAAGACTACTGTGTAAAAACCAACACAATATGAAGCGTTTGATAACACAATCTACATGGAAAATCTCTACATGCATACAGCTGTACTCACATAGATTCTGCTTGCTCGTCCTTGCTTTGATTGTGTCTTTCTGCATGGCAGAGATTGGAATGGATGGCCCTTGTGGTCTCTTCCAACTCTATGGGGTTTATCACACGCGTCCAATTGGAAGTTTAAATGGTGATTATCCCAGGGAAATTGCACATTCGCGATGATTTTCACATGACGTCACAATTAAAGCACCATTATCACAGGAATATCCCGTGAAAATCGTGCATTAGCGATAAAGGTTTTCACACAACATTGCAATTAAAGCACCATTATTCCAGAAATAACCAGGCAATAAACACCAACAAATCATTCACAGTGAAATCCTGTGCCTGCTTTATTGCCTGGTTATTCCTGGGATAATGACTCTTTAATCTCGCTGTGTGTGAAAATCAAATCTCGATCTTAATTCCAGATGCACAATTTTCATGGGATAATTGTCGTTTAAACTCCTAATTTTCCCCCGTGTGATAAGCATCCTTTTTGAATTATGGTGCCTAAAACTGGACACAGTATTCCAGGTGACGCCTGACCAAAGTAGAACAGAGTGGTGCTATTCCCTCAATCTATGTAAAGAGATCTTGTAGCACCTTTGAGACTAACTGAAATAAAGAAGTTGGCAGCATGAGCTTTCGTAGACTTCATTCTACTTTCTTATAGATGCATATAATAGTCATTCCCTTGATCTAGACACTATCCTTCTATTCAGGGGTAGGCAACCTAAGGCCCGGGGGCCGGATGTGGCCCCCC